CACACACACACACACACACACACACACACACACACACACACACACACACACACAACGAAACAGTCTGGCGCAGCCATGTTGTTGTTGTGGAGTTGTGTATAGCGAACATAATCTGTCAGGATTTCAAGGGTGGTGTGAGTAAACGTCGACCGCATTTTGCAGGGGTAATGCTAACTCTGGGCGACGTGGTGAGTCCTTATCCATCTAAATGCATCCTGGGACTGTTGGGGGTTCAGCCTCCTAATGAGTCAGTGAAAGTCGGATGAAACAGTCTGGCACAGTCACGCAGTTTTTCTCTGAAGTTGTGTACGGCAAACATGTCAACACACTCCTGATGAACCCGTGAAAGTCTGATGAAACAGTTAGGCATAGTCATGCCTTTTTCTTTGCGTAGTTGTGTATAGAGAACATGCACACACACGCGCACACGCGCTCAGCTGCTTTGATATTGGTTCTACTCATCTGCGTGGATTAGGGGCTGTTGTGGTGAAAATCCAAAACACACGCCCAGTGGATATCCATGGCTGAGTAGGCGTACAGCATCTTTCATCTCCTTGACACTGCTGACAGACTAGTTTCTCACTGACAGACTTACTGCCTTCTTCTCAGGGCAGGGGTACGGACCGAAACGCTGCTGCGAATGCTAGCATTGTCAGGTTAGTGCGAACAAATTAACATCCCCTCCTTTCCTCAGGAGTATGGCTAACTCTGGGCGATGTTGTGAGTCCTCATCCATCAGTCAAATGCATCCTGGGCAGACAGTCAGGCGCAGTCACGCTTATGAGTAGTTTATGTACTCTTTTATTTTTGGGTGGTTGGTTGCCCATCATGAATATGGCTATTCTTTATTGGATTCCGGGCTCGAGTTGGTTCAGTATAAAGGCAGAAGGCTTTCTGTTTTTATATATTTGGGTTCGTGCAGCATTTCTACGATATCGTTATGATCAATTAATTAGACTTGGCTGGAAAGTCTTCTTGCCTTTATCATTAGCATGGGTAGTTTTTGTATTATTTTCGAGTTGTGTATAGCCAACATGACAACACAGGCAATAAATCATACTATTGATTTTACAGCTTGCTTCCATTCCAGTACGTTTTTCTGTTCTGCTCTTTGTGTTGCACCCCATCTTTTTCCGTCTTCTCCTGTCTATGTTTAGAACCTTTAAGATGTGCCGACTCTTAAAGGCAACCAATGGTGGTATTAATCTATAGTCAGCAGAGCTGTACCTGCGGTGTGACTTGGTTATGGTTAACTTTGGTCTTTGTTAGTTGTGTGAACTGCCTGGTCGGTGTTGCCCTTCTGCCTGGGTGCCCATTTGTTCCTGTCTTACCTTTCAATGCTGCCAACCTATTTGCCCTGTGCCACTCTGCTGCTTGCTTTGCTGTTCTCATCCCCTGAGTTCGCCTTGCGGTTTGCCTGTTTGCCTTGTTGTCCTTGCGGCTGTCCACCCTGCCGTTCGACTTTGCTGTTGGCCTTCCCATGTGCGCCCCTGCCACTGCCGCGGCAGTGCCGACCATCTGTCTGCTCACCGGCCTTGTTGCCTTGCTGCATGCTATGTTCGCCTCCCCAGCGTGTGCTTTACTGTTTGCTCCCTTGCCACTTGACTTTTCTGGTTGCCTGTTCCCTAGGGCTTGCTTACCCGCCCGGCGCCCGCCATCCCTCTGCAGCCTTCTCTCCCTTGCCGCTTGTGTTGTCACGGTGTCACCTGCCTGGCTTTCCACTTGCAGCAGCTTTTGAACTAGCTTACGGGTTAAAGCATCGTTCTCTGGATCCTACAGACTGTGAAGCGTTCAGCCTCCTAGGCTCCTACCCTACCTGCTTGCCCTCTTGCTCCCTTGCTACTTGACTTGCTCATTGCCTGTCCCCTTGCTTGCCTGCCCATCATCCCTCTGCTGTCTGGCTTTCCACCCCGCTTGCCTTCTTGTTGTCTTGCTACTAAACTTCGCTCATTGCCTGGGACCACGCGGCCGAGTTTCCACATGGCCGCACGGCGGAGATCGGGGCGCGTGTCCAGACTGCGCAGGTTGGCCCTCGACCCCCCGCCCAAAAAAAAAAAAAAAAAAGAAATGAAAGGGGGGGTTAATATTTCGTTTTTAGAGGTGTGTTAGAAAAATGCAAGGAATGCGCGAGAGCGATAGACAAAACCAAGTTGCAATATCATGCAGAAGTCCAGATAGTCATGTACCAAGCAGAGAAGCATAAATGCACCAAGATTCCATCCACATAAGAACGATTCAATGAACTCGTGAGCCAATGTCCAAGCCCTCAGGCCACACCGACGCAGTATCCAATGTCGCTTTTACTGGATGGCGCCCAGCACCCAGCCTACTCAGTCTATCTACCCTAGCTACATTCATGCAACAGGATCAATTCACAGTCGAAGACCAATGTACATGACGTCAACACCAATGCCGAACTCCCACATACACCAGGTACGTTCTCTCTTCTCCCCTCATCAGACGCTGTCCACCCACTCATGCGCCTCCTTCCTGAAGACCACCAGCGCCCATCACCTGCCCGCATCACTGCAGCCGGGCTATGGCCGCTAAGCGCCCCACTTCACCTCATAGCTCCCTCATGGGCCCCAGCCAGCAGCGCTAAAACACAGACACTTGCGCAGTGATGCAGCAGTGTGTCCGCATTGACTGCTGCGGCCAGAATGCCCGCCTCTGCCCGGCCTCCACCCTATATGATAGTA